AATTCTATCATATGTAGAGAAAAATTCATACCGAATTTTGTTAAAGATCGGGTTCGACCGTACGAAAATAACATTGTCTAGTAGGTGGAAAATTCTCAATAAAGAGTTGGGGAAATAGAGAGATGTCTTGGCAAAAGCGAGGGACAACCATAGAAGCGGGGAAATCATAGCAATGATGTAAATTATTTGTAATTTTTGTTTTATTAATTTTAATGTCCTAATTTAGTTTTTTAAATGTTTCTTGCATTTTCAATATTTTGTTAATATTTCTTGCATTTCTAATTTTTTTTTTTTTAAATGTTTCTTGCATTTCCAATATTTTGTGAATATTTCTTGCATTGCCAATATTTTTTTAATGTTTCTTGCATTTCCAATATTTAAAAATAAAATAAAAAGATTATGCAAGCAAAAAAATGTGGTTTGGTGATATTGGGTAAGGCAAAAAAACTCTCAACCATGACCAATGTTGGGAGGTGGTGAAGAATTGTTCGAGATTCTGAATTATTTTAATGGGTCCGACCGTTGTGTTGAACGAGACGCCACTCCATGATTCACCCACATCGGATTCTCCTATATATTCCCCGATGAGTCAAGACTCATCCATCCAAAAGGAATCGAGGCCTATTGGGAGAAAGGCGGCGAAGTCGAAGAGAGGGAGTAATTATAGCAGTAATACATCTAAATTTTTGCAGGAAATTGCAAGGCTAAGGGCCATGAGAATTGAAATAGATATGACAACCCAAGAAGATGAGAGGGCAATTCAAGTAGAATATGCAAAAGAAGGGGAGTATGTACGGAATGAAAACATTGAGAGGAAAGATCGGGAAACTTTGGCCATGGATACAAGCCATATGTCTCCTGAAACAAAACAAGTTTGGAAGCTAGAACGAAGGGATGTTATGAGAAGAAGACTTTTCCATGACGATGAACCTAGCAACACGGATTGGTTAAATGATCAAAACCATTAAGTTAGTTTGCTTGCCTTTTATTTCATTGTATTTTATTTAATTAGTTGTAATTCATGTATTTTATTTAATTAGTAGTAATTCTTAATTACTTGTAATGGTTTTCTTTGAGTGAATAACGAAAGCATTCAATAAAATACCTTTTTATTCAAAACATTCCATACATAAAAAAACCACAACCAAAGCATAACTAAAAAACAAACCACAACCAAAGCATTAAAAAAAATAAAACCACAACTAAAGCATAACTAAAAATAAAACACAACCAAAGCATAATAAAATAAAATGTAAAAAAAAACATCTTCACTTCATTCACCATCATTGCCTTTCATCGTCCATAAATGCTCCATCAACTCAACTTGACGTCGTTCATGAATATAAGACGATTGCATCTCCGTATATCAATCAATCATACGAGTCATGAAACGACTGTCCCTAACCAACAGTTTATGCTCCAATGGTTCTCCATTTGGCCCCATAGGTTTTTCATAAATTCTTGTCAATGCCGTGTTCATGGGATCTGGTTTGTACACATCTGCAACATCGTAATCATACACATCCTCCACAATCATGTTATGGAGGATGATGCATGTCATCGTTATGCTCCTCAGCACCTCCTCATCAAACAGACATGCCGCACCCCTAATAATAGCCCACCGGGCTTGGAGGATACCAAAACACATATCCACATCTTTTCTATAACCCTCTTGATAGGCAGCAAATAATTTTTGCTTCTTGGATCGGGGATGTGGAATTGATTTCACAAATGTGGTCCACCTCGGGTAAATGTCGTCTGCTAGATAATACCCATTCTGGTGGACGCTATTGTTGATTTCAGAGGTGATGTTCGAGGCTTCACCTCTCAGAATATTATTGAACACAGGAGATTGACCTAGCACATTCAAGTCGTTTTGAGATTCGACAACTCCGAAGAAGGCATGCCAAACTCATGTATCGAGTCTAATAACGACTTCAAGGATGATACTTTTTTGCCCTTTCCTATTTCCATGAATAATATATATTAATTTTGTGCTCGCAAATTCATTTTTACAAAATAAAAAAATGAAAAAAGACATTTTAAATATATATATTTTATTCTTGCACGACCGTCTCGCGAAATGGATATGCGCGACGACGAATGTTCGTCGCGCAATATTGTTCGTCGCACAAATGTTGGAGACACGAATTGCGTGACGAAAAAAAGATCGTCGCACAAATAGCTGCGACACTAATCGTGTGACGAATATTATCCGTTGCGCAGTGTACTCGCGACGATCATGTTGTCGTCACGCAAAGGTTTGTGCGACGAATAATTGTGTCGTTCCTAAACCTTTTGTGCAGCGAAGGTTAACCATCGCTCTGTTTTGCGTGACCAATACAAAATATTGGTCGCGCAAAGTCTTTCTTCACGGATTGTGCTCGACGACTTTTCTGTCGCGCTGAAATTTGTGCGATTAAAAGTAACTTTGCGCGAAGAAATCTTCTTCGTCGCGCAAATCGTAAAATGTAGTAATGAAAGAATTTACACATGAATATTCCCCGTGTGGAAATTTGTACAAACACCCATAACCACAAGATCATAGTGTGCCTTACTGGGAAAAGCAATTTGGTACGAGGGTTGGCTCAGTTCCATGGGGCGATGCCAAAGAGGACTTGATAAATAAAGAAAATGTTCATGAGAATTGGGAAAATCCTTGAAAGCCTGCTCATCGGAGCAAAGCTGCATCCATGGGAGGAGGATGGGGCCACAGCACTTGGAAAAAGTGGTATGATAATTGCTTAAGTGATCAATGGAAGAATGGTTCGAAGAAGAAGTCTGATGCAAATGGCGGGAAGAAATATTATAGTGGCAATTGGATTATTATCAGAAAGCAAAAGGGTGGTGGAGGAAGGAGGAACATAGTTCACGCTGGTAATGAAAACCTAGCTTGATGAGGCAATGCAACTTAGAATTTATGTAATGTCAGCAAATCTTAAGACTCCAATGGAGAAACCAGTGTTGTTGTAGTGTCAGCAAAATACTCACAAAGCTTTATTAGTTTTGTACAAGAAAATTGATCATTTACTATATTATACAATATAATTTAGGTTTACTCTTTCGTGTGTTCTGTTTTTGTTTTTGGTTTTTTTTATACAAGAATATGAGCAGTCACTACTACATTTTTATACAAAAATGATTTTAGTCGCACATAATTATGCGCGACAGAAGTTTCGTCGCGCACAGTCTGTCGCACAAAGTTCGTGAAGAAAGGATTTGCGCGACGAATAAATATCATTCGTCGCGCAAAATAGTGCGACGTATTACAACTTCGTTAAAAAAAACATTTCGGGACGACCCTAATGTCCGTTGCACAAATATTTACGCGATGAAAAACTGGTCGTCGCAAAAACAATGAGCGACGGACTCTTCCGTCGCGCGAGATACATGAACTTTGCGCGATGAAATAATATTCGTCGCGCACGTAGTCCTTGCACGACAAAAAAGTCGTCGCGCATACAAATTTCGTGCAGCGAGATAATTCATCGCGCAATCAAATTTCGCGCGATGAAACAATTCGTCGCGCATACACATTTTGAGCAACGAAATTGTTCGTCGCGCATGATTAAAATATATTTGTCAAAAGGTTTATTTAAATGATTTTGCGCGACGATTTACGTTTCGTCGCGCAAAAGAGGGAGATGGCTAAACTCCAAGAACGTAACAATCTCCTTTCGTCCAAAGTAGACGAAACCCAACGGTTGCTTAACCAGCAGGAAACACAAAACGTTCAGACCACCGAATCTTCCCAGAGTCAGCAGACCCCCGGTCGGCAGAAGAAGGGAAAGCAGGGGGCAAAGGCAACGCCTGCGCCCTCCAAACAGCTGGTGGTCCCGGCACCCCAGGACCAACCTCACATACCGAAGAAGGTGTATACCGATTGTCATCATCGGATAAATGACAAAAAGGATGCCGAACGGCATAGGTCCCCAATCCGAGTAAACGCCCGCTTGAGGGACTCCCGGATGAGGGTCTTGGGGGATAAGTCGCCCATTCGGATGGTTCAGGGTTTGGATTCGGCGCTGGAGTCCGATGATGAGTACGTCCCCACCAGGGGCACCGAATCAAGCTACCATTCGGAAGCTCCCCCCGAGTACTCAAAAGCGAGAACACCAAGTCCGAGGAGAGCTTCCAAAGACTTCAGTTCTGAAGGCGTCCCCAGCCGAGACCCCGCCATCCGCCTACTCTTCCAAAGAATCCAGAAGATGGAGGATGATCGAACCCAGTCCCAGGTCCCTGATTGGGGAAAACTTCGGCCGGGACCGTTTACCGATCGCATCAAGAAGTCCAGATCGGACAGGGAGGTGCAGCCGTTGCGCATACCTTTCTATACCGGTGTGGAAGACCCCTTGACGCACCTCCACTCCTTCCAATCGGCAGTTGGGTGTAAGGGCCTCAGCGACGAGGGACAATGTCTGCTGTTTCCCTCGTCCCTTACCGCTTCTACCGTCTCGAACCAGGGACGGTGGACTCCTTTGACGAGCTGAAGCAAATTTTCCTCAACCATTTCATGATCCAGACGGACCGTTTGTACTCTGCCGACGATCTGTACACGATTTGGCAGAGGGAGGACGAACCCTTACGGGAATACGCAGCGCTTCAGTCACGAGTACTCGAGGTATCCCGAAACGGACGATAGGGCAGCCTACGGCGCCTTCAAGAATGGCCTACGGTCCTCTCACTTCCGGTACCTCGTGCACAGTAGCAACTGGCGCACGTACGACGAGTT